GTGTTTCTCAATACGGAACTGAAGCTACAATGTCACAGGAGGACTTGTTAGATGGAATTAAAAAGGGAAACTACCTTCAGATTTTGAAGTCAAAGGCAGAAAATGCCATATAATTTTGGATTGAGTACACTGCTCAGGAAGATATACTAGCCTTTGCTTACATACGGAGCACGGAGGTTCTGATGTAGATGTGAGAGGAAACGTTAGCAATGTAATGGCAACACTTCTACGACTGATGGATATCTGAGGCTCGAAATAACTGTCACTTCTAGTCAAAGTCGAAATTTTCACTGTACATTTTTAAACAAAGTCAGTGAAACTTGCAAATTATGACAACCAATATCAGTAACATAGTGTTATTTATAAAGCTTTTAAGACATTTGCCCTTATTCTTTTGACGGGATAGTTCAACCAATAGTCGACTGTCTCTGTGAACAAGCGAGCATGGAAATATATGTAAAGACGATGAATAGTAATAAGCATTAACTGTAAAGAAGGTACCAAAACGGTGTTGATTAAACATCACTGGTCAGTGGCCTATGCTTCAATTGAGTTTATCGTTTTACGTAAGTAATTTAGGAACGTTCTGGTTTTGCCACAGTTCTTTGGTTCCATGTTGGCTTAATAGTGGGAAGTGAGTAACAAAATACAACCACATCCCATTAGCAAATATCATGCATAATGTAATGTTAACGTTTGGACAAACAGTTTGTAAATGCATTATTAGTGCAACAGAATGATGGAGTAATATGTTTCTAAAGAACAACACCACATTAGTTTCTAAGATTCATACTCGAGTGATTTTTACTAAATACAGATATCACTCCGAATGATGCTAATTTACTGCAGACGTACTCAGGTAAGTCAATTCATTTTGTATGTATTTCACGTTTATAACTGATAAATAACTGCGGCAAATTTTTTAACGTTGTTGTATTCACTGTGATAGATGTGTGCCTAGTTTATGAGGCTTTATCATAGCAAAATATGTTGTGGAATATCGGATATTGGTGTTACTTTCACACGACTCCACATTCAACACTATTTTATGATTAAACTTGGATTAACTCCGTTTGTAGCTATTCTAGGGTCACTAATGTTCCACAGGGCGTATAAAATAAGAGGGTTGTATATGAGGTCAGCAACTACATCTCGTTGAAAATCATCTTGCTCAAAAAACATCAACCGGGGTGAAAAAGATTAGACCATTTAAAATTCGCCTTCCGAATGAAGGAAGAAGTATGATACCTCATGATGAAAGGCGAGAGTCTTCGGAAATCACACAGCCATTTCTTCTTCTAATAATCAGATCAACAATTATTATTGAAGCACAAAGAAGGAAATGCCCCTTGTAGACAGGCATTTCCTCTCATGTTGTTCAAAGAAGCACACAAATCACGTAAAGAAAGAGAATAACATTGATCAGTGATCATAAAACCATCTTCAAAAACAAAGAATCAGAGTATTACAATGAATGTTATCCATTGTTATGCACCCACCAATGATAGCTATGACGATGAAAAGGATCCGTTCTATGACAGGCTGCAGTCGATCATAGTAAGGTGCTCAAGAAATGACCCGATGGTGAACCTAAACATCAAACTACGTAATGGAAACAACGTTTATGAAGATATCATTAGACAACATGGACTGGGAAAAAGAAATAAAACATGAGGAGTTTCGATAATCAACGTTTACTCAAAAAATTGACTATAGGTGGCTCAATATTCCTTGATAAACCCATACACAAAACTTCATGGGTCTCATCAGATAACTTTACACATCGCATTTTGCCTCATTTATGGAATATTTCGATGTTCATTATACTTCATTGAAAGAGCAAAAAATGATGAACATTTCATTAACATAATAGTCTGTGTTACCATTCTTTTATCAGAAAATTATGAACGACTATCTGATATAAAGACGAATTCAGATCTTGATGACTATTGTAAGTTTAAAACACGTTTACTTATGTTATCATTTGACGGTTACTATACATGATGTGCATATGTTCTGTATGAAATCTGTCACAGTAACTTGTCACTGTTCTAAGATCTAAGCATATCACAATAGTAAATTGATATCTATGTAAGCGGTTTAGTAGCTTTTATAATGAGGTTGTATTGAACATAAACAACTAGCCATATTTATATATTTTTGCCTATATTATATATCAGTATACTGCACGTCAGTTTGTTCTGTTCTAGTTTACGGCATCAAAACGTGATCATTTTTAGCAATCACAAATTTTAAGCATAAGGAGAGACATCGTCTAACATGGTGACCCGCTGCACTCAACCAACGATGAATTCAAAGAGATCGTTTTGTCATCAGTCATCATTGGAGATGCTCGATGGAAAACTCGCTCGTTCTGGATTACTTGTCTGGACTCCGATCATGCTCTAATACAAGCATGCATTTGCTTGCGCCTCGCCCAATACATTGAAACTCAGTGACGAGAAAGCCGAAAGTAGATCTGAAAAACAACTGAGGTCACACTTGATATTTTCTGAAAATAGGGGTCACCCAGATGTTGCTTGGAAAAAAAAAGGAATAGCTGTGTCTTCAGACCTGGTCGTAGCTGTATCCACCACATATTCACCATTCGTCAAGTTCTAGAACACACGTGCTTTTCGGCGTCCGACAATGATAGTTTTTCTTGACTTAGGAGCAGTGTCTATCATTAAAAGGTGTTGTTGTTTCAGGACTGCATTGCATCAACCACTGAAGTAACGATAGGGAGCGTCGACAACTTCACTTATCTCGGAAGTCTGGTCAACCCTGGTGGGATGGCGTCTGACGAAATCTCTTTACAGATCCAGGAAGCTCGTTTGGCTTTTGCCAACTTACGTCACTTATGGCAAAGGCGAGATATCCACCTTTCAATAAAAGGACGAATGTAATGCGCAGCAGTCCGTTTTGTTTTAATATACGGCAGCGAAACATGGCCGTTAAGCGTAGAAGACACTCGTAGCTACTAGTGTTTGACCACAGATACCTTAGAAATATTGCTCGCATCTGCTGGGATCATCAGGTAAGTAATAGTCAAGGTAGATGGAGGGTATTAAGGAATGATGGTAAATCGGTTGATGAGGTTGTGAATTTTCATCGACTGAGATGCTTGGGCCACGTCTTGCGTATGCCTGGACACCGACGACGACGACGCGCAATACTGACTGACTGATGTTGAGGCCGGTTATAAGAAAGTTTTGGGAGAACAACCCAAAATGTGGCATCAGTGCTTGAAGTCACCACCTTCTAGTATGAGCTATGTTGGGGAATGTAGACTACTTGGTTGAGGTCCGCGTGGCGTACATGCACTATTTTTCCTCCATAATCTATGTGATTAAAATCGCCATCATCTCAAGATTAAAATCGCTCTATATCTTTCTTTCTACCAACTATACTTTGTTTCTGTACTATATCCTTTATACACAATCTTTCATATATTACTACCATTGAAGTAACTACTTCGATAAATTCGGTGTTCATCTTGTTGTGCTAATGAGTAAGGTGTGACAACTTAGATCGATGCACATATGTGCCTGATCCTAAGTTGTAGCTGACTGACTGACCAAATCTTAATGGAATGAATTAGAGTTGGCTTATATATAATTCGTGATAATAAGAGTAATACATTCGATAAATTTTTTTCTTTTTTCAATCATCTATTGTAGTCGAGAGATTAATAGAATCTGCAATAAAGAAGAAGTGGAATGCGAGATTAAACTTTGATCTAGCAACCAGTAGGTTTTAGATAAAAACTTTTTAACATCACATAATCAGTAATGAAATTCACTTGACCAATAAACAAACTATATCAATCCATTAAATCTATGAATGAGTATACTTACTACATATGTAATATAATTATATATATATATTCCACTGAATATTAGTGCTGATCTACAAGAAAATAGTTTGTATTAGCCTTACTTTATAATCTTCATTCGGTGAACTTTTCAAACATGATATATGATTTCATATTCTTCAATAGAATTTCATGCACTGATCATTGAAAATGATCATTGAAAATCGTCGTCACCTACAAAATGATCAACAATGTCTTCCATGACATCAAGTTCACAATAGAACAGGAGTCAAACAAAACACTGTCATTTTTGATGCATTCACAATCAGAACCGACACAGGGAAACTGAAATACAGGAAAGACAGCAAACTTCATACATCAAAGATCAGTTCATGTACGAAAGATTCAAGGTTTTTATAGAGTTTCAAAAATCTGTGGATTTTTGAAAAGTTTTGGAGGTCTCATGAACAAACTAGCAGCATAGATAATCATTCAATCACAAGTGCGCATATGACCTGTCAAATTATTGATGTTTTGCTTGAATTCTGCATAAACGTCTAATAGATGTTCATTAGATAAGATGATTCTCAATGTTTTCAGAGCCTTTCTTTTTGGCTTTCTACGAAGAGTTTTGTGAATCTGCCTCAAGAAAATACCTCAGTGCAAATAACATTTTGAATGGGTTCAACTGTTAAAATTATAAATTCATGAGGAATCAAAGTCTATACATACTACTTTCAAATTCACATTGGCTGCTATTGTTTTTTGTTTCATGCAGACATATACTTGAACATGAAAACTTCATCGAAAAGCTCGTCTTTGACAGAAAATAACGGTGAGTACTTGATATCCATATTGAGAATGAAGTTTTATCAATCAATATTTCAGTAAGAATTTGTGAAAGTCAATTCCAGCCAATAACTGTTGAAGCTTACTTCAATACTGTGTGAAATCATCCAGTAAAATCACTTTGTGCTGTTTACTTGTATATTCCCATTGTTATTCAGGACTGCAATCGATCAGTTCTTTATTGGTATATGTGCATACTGTTCGTATTGCCTTAATTTACAACCTTCATAAGCAGAGATGGATAGTGGCAAATAGTGGAATCCGGTTCGACGCGCGTTTCGTCCTATTTGAGACTCATCTGTTGAGTGTACCTGTATTTATTTAATAACCTTATCAGAATTCTTGAAGTATTTGTGAAAACGCCTACTACTACTACTACTACTACTACTACTACTACTACTACTACTACTACTACTACTACTACTACTACTACTACTACTACTACTACTACTACTACTACTACTACTACTACTACTACTACTACTACTACTACTACTACTACTACTACTACTACTACTACTACTACTACTACTACTACTACTACTACTACTACTACTACTACTACTACTACTACTACTACTACTACTACTACTACTACTACTACTACTACTACTACTACTACTACTACTACTACTACTACTACTACTACTACTACTACTACTACTACTACTACTACTACTACTACTACTACTACTACTACTACTACTACTACTACTACTACTACTACTACTACTACTACTACTACTACTACTACTACTACTACTACTACTACTACTACTACTACTACTACTACTACTACTACTACTACTACTACTACTACTACTACTACTACTACTACTACTACTACTACTACTACTACTACTACTACTACTACTACTACTACTACTACTACTACTACTACTACTACTACTACTACTACTACTACTACTACTACTACTACTACTACTACTACTACTACTACTACTACTACTACTACTACTACTACTACTACTACTACTACTACTACTACTACTACTACTACTACTACTACTACTACTACTACTACTACTACTACTACTACTACTACTACTACTACTACTACTACTACTACTACTACTACTACTACTACTACTACTACTACTACTACTACTACTACTACTACTACTACTACTACTACTACTACTACTACTACTACTACTACTACTACTACTACTACTACTACTACTACTACTACTACTACTACTACTACTACTACTACTACTACTACTACTACTACTACTACTACTACTACTACTACTACTACTACTACTACTACTACTACTACTACTACTACTACTACTACTACTACTACTACTACTACTACTACTACTACTACTACTACTACTACTACTACTACTACTACTACTACTACTACTACTACTACTACTACTACTACTACTACTACTACTACTACTACTACTACTACTACTACTACTACTACTACTACTACTACTACTACTACTACTACTACTACTACTACTACTACTACTACTACTACTACTACTACTACTACTACTACTACTACTACTACTACTACTACTACTACTACTACTACTACTACTACTACTACTACTACTACTACTACTACTACTACTACTACTACTACTACTACTACTACTACTACTACTACTACTACTACTACTACTACTACTACTACTACTACTACTACTACTACTACTACTACTACTACTACTACTACTACTACTACTACTACTACTACTACTACTACTACTACTACTACTACTACTACTACTACTACTACTACTACTACTACTACTACTACTACTACTACTACTACTACTACTACTACTACTACTACTACTACTACTACTACTACTACTACTACTACTACTACTACTACTACTACTACTACTACTACTACTACTACTACTACTACTACTACTACTACTACTACTACTACTACTACTACTACTACTGAGCATATAATATCGAAAACTGCATTACTGACTAACCGTTGAAGCCCTCGGTTGAATAGTCATTTTGTGCGAAGAAATTGGCAATTGTATAAACTAAAATACATCTTGTAAGTGTAAAAGATAATTGCAAACCATAAGCTGTGACTGAATTTCGTAAATAAATTATAGTTGGACATTAACACCGTTGGATATCAGCTCAATAATCCAGAGTTTAAGTGGTCTCGCGCGAGACTGATAGGTCTTGGTTTCAAATCCCACGGTGTGAGATCGTGGATGTGTGCAAAACAAAACACAAATCACTTATGTATTGAAATGTAAACCTTCATGATGAAAACATTAGATTATTTGCATTAATAACTGGATTTCATTTTTATTCTACTAAAGGGAAATCACTTGATGAAAGAAAATCAACTCTGGGAGAAACTGAAAATCAATATAAAGAGTCTAAATGTATGTTTATTAGAGTTTCAAATAAGCAAACCTGTAACATAAAAGACTATTGATTTGTAATCTTGTTTGTATAGTGAATTCTGTAAGCTGAGATATACGATTGCTTATTAAGTGATCTCATTCTTGATGGTAAATGGTACTATAAGATAAGTGGCTATAAGAGCTACTGGATCATTATCCTAATAATGTGAGTATTCCATAGACTGTTTTTACATCATTCTCAAATTTAACACGGAGAACATCAACCCAAACACACTTGATGGCGAAACTTTGGAAGAAGTGAAATCCTTCACGTACTTGGGTAGTATCATCAATGAACAAGGAAGATCTGATGCAGACGTGAATGCGAGGATTGGCAAAACAATGACAGCATTCCTACAGTTGAAAAACATATAGAACTCAAAACAACCATCAACCAATATCAAAGACAGAATCTTCAATACCAATATCAGGACGGTCCTACTGTATGGAACTGAAACTTGGAGGACTACAACAACCATCATCAATAACATAAAATTATTTATAAATAGATGTCTTTGCAAGATACTCAACGTCCATTGGCCGAACACCATAAGCAACAGCCTACTGTGGGAAAGAACAAGCCAGCTTTAAACTGAAAAAATTAGGAAAAGACGATGGAAATGGATTGGAAATATATTACAGAAATCATAGAACTGCATCACAAGGCATGTCCTAACTTGAAAATCTTGAATGGAAACGGAAAAGGGGAAGGTCAAAGAACACAATACGTTGAAAGAAAGAAGCAGATATGAAAAAGATAAAATAACAACTGTAAAGAAACTGGAAAGTATTGCTCAGGACAAAGTTAAATGGCGAATAATTATGGGCGGCATATTCTCCTCCACGAGGAGTAACAATCGTAAGGAAGTAAGTAATTTTATTGAAAACCTGATAGAATTAGGCAATTAGTACAGAACTATTGTTAACTAAAAAATTTTTTATGGGGAGAGATATGTCACGCTAGAGACAGTTATATCATTATTATTATTGGTGAAAATTGAACAAGGTCTTGAATTAAAACCATGTTCCGTGTGATGATCTATATAATTGTTTTATCTTGATTTTTTTTCAACTGAAGTACGTCTTAAAAGAATGTATAAGAAAATGGTTGAAGCAGAACATTCCCTTGTAAAAGTCTACGGTGAGTTCCATAGCCAGTTATATATATATACATATATCTTTCCATGAATAAATTAATTCCTAACTTTACAGTGATTATGCAGTGTGACTGAGTTTCTTAAATATATTAGGGTTAGAATTATGATGAGGGTTGAGTGATAATATTCTTGCTAAGAAATTAGGCATTAAACTAGTAAAAGTATCTGTAAAGTTTGGTATTATCCCGTCATGTATATTTTGAACCTCATTGACTAGTCAATTTTATGTTGAAAAGGACGGATAATAAGATTATGAACCGTGTGAATATTGACACTAGGATCTAGGTTTGGCTAGTTAAAGAACCCTCAAACATAACCCGCCTTGTGTTGTGAATTTCATCTATATAGAGCACTATTCACATGTAGAAGACGTGAATAGATAATAGATTATCATTATAGTTAAAACAATGTCGCGAATTAACATGAAATAATATTTCGTAGTCAGTGGTGTACCTTTTTACGACAAAGTCTTACGTCCATTACCCCTCGTGGAGGAGCGTAGGCAGCTATAATGTTTGAAAAGAATTTGAATTATAGTACGAACTAAGAGTCCCAGAAATAACCCAATTGAATTAAGAGGTAAGACAAAAGCACAAACGAATGTATTGTATTTGGAATTCGAAATCAAGCATTCAACAAGTACAAAAGAGTCATTAGTTAATTTAAACACCACATCCGCCACAGCTTAAATAGGAGTATAAGTGTCTATAATCGGTTGTACGTCTTTTTATGAAGTTCATCCTGAGTCTGTCCGATACTGTATTGGATAAAAACTCTGTAGTATCTAGAATGTGCTCATTAGTATTGGAATTAACAAACGAAATTGGAACAGACTAACCTGGAATTGTATACAATCAGCATGCCTTTTGATTCAGTTTAATGGTATCTGTAATGTATGTTCTATCCACTTCCAACGAATTTTAGTAAACAAGACGCCAACCAGAATAAACAAGTTTAACACATCAAACTTGGTGAATATAAATATACATTACTATTTTTATTAAATCAAACCGTCCGTTATCATCATTTAAATATTTTTCTCCAAGTGATTTGATTACTAAAGACGTTTACTTTGACATCGATCAAGCAAATAATTAAACCGAATGCAAAGATCAATCCAACTAACCCAATATATTATGAAAAAAATACTATTGTATCTTAAGGCCCTCTGCCCTATGAATGTATTACGTAACGATACCGTCAATTAGAGAACATTGGTTTATCGACTAGACTAATGATACATAAACACGTACAAGAAGTCTAGAGTCATTACCGGTCCTGCTTCTTGCCTAGCCATTCCTCTTAAGTCCCGAACACAAATCTCAACCTCCACAATATGAGCACTCTAGTTCAAATATACTGTGTTTATATTCAAACCAAACAGGCCATATAGTGCCATAAAATAGAAAATGCACAATTGTACCAAAATCTAACCAAAAGTGGTTGTGAATGTGGGAGATTATAATTAATAGGGTGAGCATAACTCAAGGGTGAAAAATCGTATCATAATAGTCTATGGGTCAAAATGAAGCAAGGCAAGAATTGATAAAGCATTAATAGCATTCTCACAGTTGAAGAACATATGCAACTCGAAACAACTGCGATCTAATATCAAAGTGAGAATCTTCATTACGAACGTAAAGACAGTTCTAATGTACGGAGCTGAAACGTGGAGAACTATCACAACGATCATCAAAAAAGTATGTGTTTGTAAACAATTGTCACTGTAAGATAATGAATGTTCGTTTCTCAGAAACCATCAGCAACAGCCTACTATGGGAGAGAATAAACCAGGAAAATACGATGGAGGTGTTGGTTAGGAAATACATTGAGAAAATCATCAATCAATATCACAAAGCATGTCTTAACTTAGAATCTTGATAAGAAACGGAATAGAGGAAGTAAATAAAAATAATATATTTGTAATATCCCAATGAGCAGAAAATTGGATTTTCTGACGTTTCGTGACTTAGTGTAAGTCACTTCTTCAGAGAACAAATAACCAAATTAAAATTCATCCAAGTTTAAATAGTACAACGGAACAATGGCATTGTTCCGTTGTACTATTTAAACTTGGATGAATTTTAATTTGGTTATTTGTTCTCTGAAGAAGTGACTTACACTAAGTCACGAAACGTCAGAAAATCCAATTTTCTGCTCATTGGGATATTACAAATATATTATTTTTATTTATAACAATGAACCCAATGCTCAATTTATTCGAAATTATCAAATCAAACCTTGGTAATGACACCTACAAACTCATTAATAACCGGAATAGAGGAAGGTCAAAGAACTCATTTCGTTGGTAAATAGAAGCATATGTGATAAGGTTGAATAACAGCTGGTTAGAAACTGGAAAGGATTGCTCAGGACAAAGTTAAATGGAAAGTACTGATGTGCGTTCTATTCCTCTCCACGAGGAGTAACAGGCGTGTCCCTCATCTCCACGGTTAGAAACGTTACCACTGAACTATCCTACCGGGATAAGAAAATCACTTTATAGTATGATGTAAAATATATGCTGTGTGCTTTGTGTGCAGAAATCTTTGCTAGTACTCTTAATGCTATTGAATCCTGACCACAATCCTCAAAGCTGATTGTGAGATAACTTGGAAAACAGACTTTCAACATGTAACACTAAAAGTACCTCAATAATGGTGGACGTAGTAACATTGATTCGAAATTTAACTCATCGAATATCACGGCTCCGCCTTGCAGGCATTTTTATTCTTTCGTAACTTATCCATTTTATTCATATTAAGTGTATTGTTCTATCTCCAGTCTAAATGTGTTCTCCATTATATATCGATGATTAGTCTGCTAGAATCTTGTTTGGTTAGATCGTTTAGCATTCGTCAACCCACGTTATCCTCAACCTTCCTTACAACTTCTATCCAATTGTTGTTTCTTCTTCTCATGTCTGTCTCGGTTTCTCGATGTAATGTGCTCCTTGGTCTTCCGCTTGTCCTTTGACCTTGAGGATTCCATGTGAGGGTTGACCTTGTGACGTAGTTGGGTGCTTTCCTCAATGTATGCCCAATCCTCTTCCATCGCTTCTTTCTAATTTCGTCCAGATACGAGTATTTGAACCAAAACAAATCCTTTATCTAGACACATGAAATCCGATGTTTTAGTAAGATTTGTTTTTCACTTAAGTGAACTCTGATAGCAGTTTAATGTTTATTGTCAACGTATCACACACACTCTGAGCATAATCATATTTTTGACGGAGCTTTGTACTTTGAGCTGGTTGGAGCTGTATTCTACCTGAATTTTTTGAACAAGATCTTAGGCGGAAAATCAAGAAATTTGAAGGTGCATAGCAATTTCAATAGATGATACACCAATATATTACTGGTAGCATTGAACAGCCGTTTTGTCTTAGTATTGGATTCCTGTGTGTGGGATCATGGACCTTCACAACTGACGAGTCCCATACTAGGACGAAACGAATGTTCAGTGTTTTCAGGTTTTAGACGGTAGCCTAACATTAATCAATTTAATGGTAACAATCGAAACTCTTTGATCTCTATAACCCTAACAAATTCATTTTTGTACACTTTTGAATAACTGAAAATATCATATTAGGGCGAATAAAGGAGTCTGAGGAGAAACTGTTTGAAACACCTACTAACCTAATTTTCGGTATTAATAACTGAATTGTGAAGTAAATAATTTTATCATTGGCGAGACAATAATTTATGGACGAACCAATCACGTATAAGATAACAGGTGTCGGATTTTAGCGCAAAGTTTAATCATCCATTTGGCTAAATGAAGTTTTGGCATTATAGCTGATTTCGATGATAGAAATCTACCTAAAGTTTTTGTTGATGATGTCTTTCAACAGAATGATGAATGCTCTGCAACCATGCCATCCAGCTCATAGAACAAAACTCCATCATAACCATCCACTTAAGCTACAAATCATCATCTCACAGTAGCTGATAACGGTTCCTAACAAAAACGCGAAATCTAATTCCTAGCCATAATCGTAAACTGTGAATCGTAATTCTTATAATTCAAACTGCTTTATAACCCTCATTTAGCCCTAGTAGATAGATGAACACTTTGAAAAAGTTGTCTGTAAATCACAGTTTTACTGAGTAATATAACTAGCACTTTAATTAACCATGTTTTACTTTGATTATATTTTATAGCAAATCCAGAAGTGAAAGCTGAAACAGCAAAATACGAACATGCCTTCATTAAATATCTCAGTGAATTAAGTAAGTTTTCTGCAAATAATACCAATGAAAATTATTTATCGTTTGAAGTCGATAGTTTATACAGTGGCCAATTATCTATTAGCTACTTGCTTACTTACTTACGCCTGTTACTCCGATTGGAGAATAGGCCGCCGACTAATACGCTCAAACACTCTCTTTCCTAGGCCTTCCCTTATAGTTCTACTCAATTGTTGTTCATTCTTCTCATATCGGCCTCAGTTTATCAATTTAATATTTTCTTTGGTCGTCCCCTCCCCTTTCGACCTTATTTCCCATATGTAGCCGTTTTAATTTTCAACGAGATAATGAAATCAGTATGTGATTGTAAGATGTTTGAGTAAAATAGTTTTATCAGATTATAAGCAAAGATGGATATTGGCTACAAGTGGAATCCAGTTTGACGCGCGTTTCATCCTATCTGGTATACAAAATCACGTTTTCAAATTCTCCACCAAACATTCATACTTATAGTAACTTGGGAAATTATTATATGCTTCTCTATTCTATTTATTCTTAAAAGCAAAGTGAAATGTTTACACAATAATATCCCTTTGAACGTCAGATCACCAACTTTTTTTATTTCTCTTATGGGTTAGTTAACTTACAGTTGCGATCTGTCTAATAATGAAATGTCTTGCAATTGAACGCTTGATTCGGTTCCTACGTTCATCTAGTAACCTCCAGGCTAGATCTTTACAACAACTTGGACAGTTGAGGACAGGGGCGAAATATGGAAGAAGACGCTTTACTTCAAAGGCCAGTTTATGTATAGAAAATCGAGATCTTTTATGGTATTTCAGATGGCCTTCCAGAAAATTATGGAAGGTCACTTAAATATAGTAGCTGTATAGGTATTCATTCTATCAAAAACTCGGCGTGTGACTTTCCACATTCTAAATGTTTCTGGTAAACCTTCAGTTGAATACCTATTGGATACGATGCTCCTCTCTGTTTTCAGAGCAGTGTTTCGCTTTTCCTGGATCTCTTCAACATGTACTGTACACTGTTAATTTCGATAAAATTTAGTTCATTTTCATCATGATTTACAGATGATCATCTTAAAACATTGACAAATATGGAAGTTCAAAGAATAGATGTCCTTGAATGTAAGTGACTTTTATTGTTTGATAATAATCGACTAACTTATTAAGTACTTTCATTAGAAGAAAGAATAAAAATCTACGAAAGTATAATGCAGGAAGAAAGTAAGTACTCTCTTTAGGGGTTTTGTTACGTAATGTAGAAATAAACTTGTAATTGTATGATAATATTGTCTTATTTACAAACCATTTTGAATAATTCTGACTTTTTCTTCAGTAAACTCAATTTAAAGGCCTAAAAATGTGAGTAATCACCTTAGAAGATGTTTTCCGATTTTCACTCGCGCGTTTCATCCTATTTAATATTCATCAGTGGGATGTATCTGGATCTTATAGTGTGGTACTGGGTTCGAGTCCCAGAGTGAACATCAACTCTGAGATACAGGTACATCCGGCTGACATTTCTGAAATAGGACGAAACGTGATTCAAACTGCATTCCACTGCTAGCCATTATGCAACTTCGCTTATATTATTGGATGCTGTATTGGCTTTGTTATAGTATGCAATATTACCTATGAGTATTTATCACGCACATAAACTAATCAAGGTAGTAAATGGATTGATTAAAATGCATTAAGTTACTTGATTGATTGAATAAATGTCTTAGGGAATGCACCAACTTAAATCAGATGACAACCTTTTCACTTAATAAACTATCAAATCATATCTTACAATTACAAATGATTGTAGAGCGAAAATGTCAAGACTCCTTAACAATTCTTCCTGAAAATGTGAGACAATGAATGTTCTGTTGCAATCGTCAATCATTCAACTATCACTAGCTTAGACCCTGCTGTCGGTATGTATTGGTGCATATCGTCAAACCATATTAGCATATAGAGATGAAAGTAACAAAATACATTGAAATAGAATGTTAGCGATGATAGTCATGAAAATTACACGTCCTTAATATTGTTTGAAATGGTAGATTTAAAGCGTTTGCATGGAGGATTACTGAGGTTCGATATCTAGTGGAAGATAGAGTGGACGATTCTGAGCCATGTCAACACCTTGACAACTCCAAACAGTGATTGTTATTAACGCATTGGTTTAAATCATATGTGCTGCACCTACTGATGAGTTCGGAACAACAATCTGTGACTTCATAGACTAATGCTAACACCATATTAGGCTGTCTGTTGGACTAGGAGCAGCCAGTTGAAGCAAGTGGTGAATAGGCACAGGTGACACATGTTCCAAACAATCTAATCGATCACAACTTATAGCTTCCGTTACTCAGTCTCCTGTGCAGCTTCTTCACTCGGCTTTGTCGACATTTACTAGGTCAACCAGTGCATCATTTGTGCGAATATCAACTCATGATAAGTGAGGTGATGGAATCGTCACTCATAAGGGAATATTTATAGATAAAATAAATAAAAACGATGAATGTTGTCCATCTCTGATGGATATCACATGACAATTCTGGTAAACCTGACTACAATCTGCGACACAAGCAAACATTCACCATAAAAAAGATTACTTGCAAGATTTGTTTGCTGCTATGGTCTGCATTTTAACAAAAAAATTAACACGAAAGCTGTTGATCAATACGGACGAATGATTTCTCGGAGTCAAGAAATAGGATTCTTGTTGTATGCCATTAAGTTTGCTTGTATTTAAAAACCTGAAGAGTGTGCATTTAGTTGATACATTCACATTCAAGTCTAAAACCCGTCCAAGCTTCCAAGAATTCCTCATCAACATCAAAATTTTGTCATCATACGGACACAGAGGCTTGTATTTTCGTTACTATACTGGTTAAACCGATTCTTCTGTGTTAATTATGAGAGGATGGTAAACCCGTCATGTGAAGTGTTACGGTCAGCTATCAAAGCAAGTCAGATAAGATGACGTCCGACTATCAAACTTCAACCAGTGGCTATATTAGCTTACTTTTAAAACTGTATCACTACCGTGAAAGATATCCAAGTTTAATAGAGACGAGTTTTCTGCACTCCTCCAGATAGTTTGTCCATCAGTCCGAGTGCTAGTAACAGTTTATTCATCTTCCAAGATTACCTGGAGTCTCTGTCACTCTTTAACACTCTCTGGACCTCTCACGATAAGGTTTCTGGTATCTATCAACTCAGTAGATCACACAAAAATCATTTGATCTAAACTGAATTTCTTAATAACTTTAAATGTAGGTGTCACTGATATATTTATAGTTGGTTAGAGGTGTTTACAAACATCTATATCATTAGCTGTTTCTCAATGAAGCTTAAATTGTTCTCCCTTGAATGAACTACTAAATTACTTTGCCTATAATACTCGTTGTTGTAGACAAATAATTGTCGATTGTGTTGTTTGAATTTATTTGTTGAAGATGGTTCTGAATAACATAAAAGGTTACCTGTTTACACATGGATTCAAGTGTAATGTGCGTTGTTGATACGTTTGTTGTTTTTTAATAGGAAACCAGAAGAATGAACGAAACTTCAACCAAACAAAATATTGTTCTCAAACTGTTTTAATAAAAATTCTGTCAACTTTTTCATTAACTGAAAAACCGAAAAACAGTATCAATGTTCATTTTATTCCAGTGTCTTTTCGCTAAAATAACGTTGTGCATTGCATTGACAGATTTTGCGACAGTTCAAATTATTGGCAAAGATGGACAATGGCTAGCTGTGAAATCCTGTTTAAAGAGCGTTTCATACTATTTGGGACACATCAGTTTGATGTACCTGCATCTCAGGATTGATTTTTACCCTGCGATTCGATCACAGAATCGTTCGCTTCAATCGTCATCGCGTTATCCACTAAGCTGCTGAGTTCTGACGGCTACTTGCTTGTGCAATAGATTTCTTTTCATCAGTTTTATTCTGAAGTATTACAATCGCTTATAATTGTGTTGTGTAAAGCGATAATCAATAAATTACTTCCTAATTATAATAAATTATCGAACAAAACAATTAATTTAGCCGGATCTGTTTTGAGATGGTAACTCACTGAAGACAATGATGGACGGTGGCGCAATTACGTGAATTGACCGACGTTAGACATTAACACCGTTGTGTACCGGCTCAGTGGTTTGTAGGTTAAGCGCTCGCGCGCCACACCGAAGGTCGTGAGTTCAAATCTCACAAGGCGGGATCGTGGATGCGCACTGCTGAGGAGGCTCATGCTAGAACGAGACAGCTGCCCAGTACTTCAGGGTTTTCCGTGGTTATCTAGATCTAATCGACTCATGAATTCAACTATTAGATAATAATTTAGTACGTACTTTACTATGAGAACTTTCGTGGTCTACCATTACACCATTAACTGGAGTAATGATTGGAAAATCAGGATATATTTTCAGCTATCACTGTCTTATTTCAATATACGATAAAGTTATGTTACTATCGAAAAATCTTGGTGACCACCATGGGTTGTGTAACGCTTTGATGCAAGCATACATGAGTAAAACTCCTGAATGAATGTGCTTATACTCCCTTCATGAAGTGTTTACCTTTAATAATCTTACAGAACAAACGTATGGACTAGTGACTGAGGAACGCAAAATTTAAGTTGACCGAATTTTGACACATACATCGATGGATACCGGATCAATTGTCTGTAGGTTAGGCGTTGACGCTTGATGCGGAAGTTGCTACGTCGTATCCTCTTTACTGGAGTTGTGTATGCCGAAGAGTCCTTTACTGCGAAGAAGAAACAGCTGAGCAGACCTCACTAGTTTACAGTGGTCCTTAGATCAAGATCGGTGTGTAGTTTAAGCTATGAAACTGAGCTTTAGTACCTTACATTTATATATATATATATATATATATACATAATAATTTCAATCCAACTGTATTATGGTACTATTCATTCGGAAATTGATAATCCACTGTCGTATCTCCCATTGATGTCTAGTGGATAAATATCAAGTACTGAGAAGTTTGTATGTCTTATATTGTTGAAACTCATCACAAATAAGCATTTTGTAGTTAAATTCATGAGTCATTTGAAGCTAGATCCCCATGGAAACCTAGAACTACTCTACGTCTGTTTCGTTCCTTATAGGTTACACGTTGTAGGCAAGACTGGTAGGTCTCGGGTTCAAATATGGATGCGCACTAATGGAGAGACTCACAATTAGACGAAACAGCCATCCAATGGTTCTAGGTTTTTCATAGTGGCCTAGGTAAAATTGATTCATGAATTCAACTACAACATAACTAATATCTCCACAAAACACCTTTCGGATAATAAGCATTTTGCAGAAGTCTAATTTAGTGGTTAATTTGAATGTGGCCAAAGGTTTGTCTTACCTTGATTGAATAGGCGACCTTTGAGTACTTAAACCGTAAGACTCATCTACTAATTAGATACGGATTATATTACAGTCATAACCCTATAAGGAAATCAATCGATTGTAGTGACTCACTTTTATCACGAGAACACGATTGGTTTATGGAAAACAATTATTATTATAACCAATTGTACCGGTGACTGTTTTAATGTGCTTTTGTTTAACTGTGCTAAAAGCATCCATTATTCACACACTTTGATTGTGACTTCGCGCGAATTTGGTTACGTTCTGTAACCAAGCTTGTATACTGACAAGATCTCGGTATCCTTTCGATACCACGAGATCACCAGCAAATATATCTCGACTTGGTTCATTAACTGCCTTCTGATATTTGGCGTCCGCGGGATTTTATGGAGTCATTTGGCACGAGTTTTTTGGTAGCGGTGTTCATAGTCCATCTTGACTCCACACCACGCTACACGATCAATAAAATGCGTTAGGATAATCTGATTAGTGATGGGTTTGTTTCCTTGCCACCATAAGAAGTTATAAAATGATGCTATTTAAGGTAACATTTATACTGTTAAAATGTTTTTTATTATTTTCAAAGCCTTAGAATAAAACCAGAGAGAGTCGGACCCTAATTTCACTGAAGTACAAGTGATCTATGAAACTAGTAGCATTAAATAAATCCACTAAATCAATAGCTCTATCAGTCTTTGATGTTTATAGATGACCTTATCAGTTATAAAAGACTCACCTAGCTGAAGGTACTTGGTCATGTATCCACACCAGATCAAGTGTGGGAACGTTGTGCTCAACTTCTTGTACAACCTCCAACCAGTTGAGATCAGTCACTTCTCGGTATATTAATAACCTATCTTCTAATCTCCTAGCTTTTGATTTTTGATTTCACTGGTTGGGCACGATTTAATTATAGGTGTTACTGGTTAAAATGGTGTCAAACTAGATATGCCTCTTGCATTTTCAAACTTCTAATCATAAGATGAATGTTTTATAATATCAGCATATCATTTTCCGAGGGAAAAAACCTACTTTGTTAGTTATTTATGATGACTTTCCAAATTATATATATATATATATATATATATATATATATATATATATATATATATAATATACGCGACATGACGGATAACGATAAGAATAGTATTAATATAATAGACTCCCATGTACGTGTACCGAATCCTTGTCACATTTTATTCGCGTGACGTTAAATTCCACGCGTTATTCGATAAATTTTATCCTATTAACTATTCTCCTTGCTGACCCGGCTGCTTAGTACGGAATACATACGCATACGCATATCCGTCTACCACCCAGCACCAAATGGTTAAGTTGAGCGGTTTCACTGCCAAATTAAAAGTGCTCTACGAGCACATGAAAACGGCAACTGGCACGAAACCTTACCGCTCGTTCTTTAAGAGATGAGAACGAGCTTAAACGCAGATATCCAATGTTCCGCCGCTGAACTTGTATACGGCACGACATTACGTCTGCCCGGAGAATTCTTCACACCACAGAGCAGACCTGATTTTGGTAAATCAGACTACGTCCATAGACTGTCTGCACTTATGCGAACGCTGTCTCCGGTGCCAACACCGTAGAACGGTTCTTCTAGAGGTATCCGAAAGAGAAATTGGGCTGACGTTTTGTGAGTAATTTTTGTGTTAGCACTGTACTTGTTGAAACCTTGCTGCCAGAGACAGAAATCCGTGCAATAAGGAAAGGTGTGCATTTTTAGGGTCGACATTTTCTAACCACACTCCTCCTTGTGTGAAGGCAGCATTGCTGTTATGCTGGTGGTCTGAAGGAAACACATTACTGCCATCATTTCCCTGTATAATCAGCGGTAGTACATCGCCTTCGGAAACTGGGTTCGCTGCTTTTAGTCATACCGTTCTTCAACCGACCTGTCTGGCAGTGTAGGACCTTGAGAAATGATTGTTCTAGCCAGGATAGCTGAACTGGTTCATCACGATAAGAAAACCCGATCACCATGTCAAGGTAGCAGCAACGGTATAATTCATGCCTTTGAAAATCTGCGTCTAGACCATTGTAACGAATAAAAGTTCATTATACAAAGGTGGAGATTAGATTAGTAAACATAGTGATAATAAGTTATTCGGTATTTCAGTAATCAGCTTTATGTAATTCCATGAATATTTCAGCAAATAATAATAATTTATTCTGAAAATAATAATTACAAATTTACGCCAGTTTACAGGCATGATCAATTTGATATAAATAGTAACATTAGATGTACAGAACAAACACGTGATAGAAGAACGTTTTAAGTATACAAGTTCAGTAATTGTTTAGGTAGTACATGTATCACAGTGATCCAATGCATCAGCCGGGAATTTTTAATATTTCATAAATGGACAGCCTGTTGATTTATTAACGGAGTAATTAAAGTCAATTCGTGTGCCAGATCGAATTAATGATAATTATCTACAACTAGAGAGATTAAAACGAGAACACAGAGCACGGAACAGCAAAGCAGTAATTAACAAAATATGTGAATCAGGTCTACCTCAATGCGTGTGTCATGTGACACAGTGATATACTGTTTATGTTATTCAAATTAGTTGAACTTGCTAGGGACGGTGTTAACATATTGACAGCAAATGAGTGGTTTTACTTAGGGGATTCACGAATAAAGATGGCTAAACATTTACAGTTCCTAAAATATTACTTGTGGAATGAGATACACTTGCTCTCCATAGTAGTTCCTTCTCCATTGAGTAAATCATGAAAGGCCTGAAAATTATTGCTGAGGACTATCTTGAATTTGTTGAGTTTGTCAGTATCCTGAAGAAAGGCCGTATTGTACTTTTGTGATATTGTCCACCCCATTGTCCAGTGCTTCTTGACTTTCAATTTCATCTTGGCGACCAGCGAGTGCTGCTCTGAGGCTATATCAGCTTCTCTCTTGGTTTGCACGTCCTCCATCGTCCTCCTGAACGTTTTCTTGATGCAGATATGGTCGACTTGGTTCTGCGTAGTGTGATCCGGTGAAGTTCATGTGGCCTTGTGAATTCGTTTATGTGGGAATACAGTTTCGTCTATGACCAGTTTATTGAAGGCACATATGCTTGCAAATCTCTCACCATTTTCGTTTCTTTCTCCCAGTCCGTGTCGTCCCATGATGTTTTCATATTCAGTGTTGTCCGTTCCAACCTTGGCATTGAAATCTCCCATCAGAATGGTCAAGTCCTTTGTTGGGCACTTCTCGGCGATTGACTGCAGCCTATTGTAGAATTGATCTTTAGCGTCTTCATTGTAATCGTTGGTAG